GTCTGACGGGGAAGCATGTCATAAATGTTAAAGCTCTTGATGGGAATTATGTCATTGATGTTAAAGCTTCCTAGGATTAATGTCATGATGTTAAGGTTCTCAAAGGGAATTGTGTCCTTGATATTAAAGCTCTCTGGAAATTATGTCATTGATGTTAAATCTCTTACTGGGAATTATGTCATTGATGTTAAATTTCTTGAATAGAGAAAAGAATAATATGAAATGTTAATCACAGCCACAAAAGTCAGTCTTTTGAACTGACAAGATTATGTCGTCAATCTCTGATGTCACTTACCATTATTGAAGCATTGTTCTGCCCATTTACTGTGGTGTTTTGATGCTTTAACTGACCAATCACCTGCACATTCTTAGTGAGTGAGTGAGTTAATATTTAAAGTCATACCAGCAATATTTCAGCCATATCATGACTGCAGTTCCTTAAAGCACACAAACATGTCCAGTTTCCAAAATGGAAGCTGTCCTAGAACTGATATTCTTATGTTTATTCTTAACGGTTCGATTAAGAGTTTCAGTATTTGACACCATGCAAAGAATTTTAAGTTTGCATTCCTGCCAACCTACCCTCTTTAGATGCAAACATTGTCAGAGAGCCAGAGGTCAGAGCAGAGGTCATGACCTTTAGTGTTTGGTCACATGACAGGGTCTCATTGTGATGCTGGAAGCTATGTCGAAGTCTGAGTGGAGATGTTTGTCTTTAATGTGGAACTGTAATAAAGTTCATCAACTTGACCTTTTGCTCTTCAAATAACGAGAACTTTCCTTGATTAAGTCTAATTTGTTTGGGTGTGTAGATAAGCTAATGTTTTTATCTTATGCAGAAAACATTGCTCTAAAACAACAGAGCAATATGCCTTGATGATAACATGTTGGATTTAGATAGTTCTATATACAAAAGATGATTCTCCTAACTGTAATTTAATAAGGACATTTGTAATGCGCTGAATTCCGCACCAGGGACAGGCATGCTCTCAGCTCAAATTTGAGATATATGATTTGTTTAAGCTTAAGTTGTTCAACACTACCTACTTTTTGGATTTGTTCATTTTGTCTTAAGATTCTATTATGTCTGTATGGGAATCTGAAAACAATTACAGAAACGTTGTAGGAAGTTGAGTAGTAATATGGGGTTGTATGAGCTGAACTCTGGGGAATAATGCCAGTTTGTGTATAAATGAGAGTATAGGTATGAGCCATTTTGAACTCAGTTATTAACCACTAAATTTCCAAGGGTACGGTAAAGTTGCACATTGACTATTGATACAGATCATAGAGATTGATGATCATTAACCACATATCGATTGATTATCGATAAAAATCAGAGAAATAACTTTGAAAAGAATCCCAAAAAGGTCTGAGTTGACCAGATGATCCAGAGATTTACATCATGATCAACTGGTGTATGATGATGTCCATCAACCAGTATGACCATGTAATTCCATTGATCACTTCATGTGCCATGGATTGCTGGATACAAATTGTAAAACCACATTGTCATGGCACCTACTTAAGATAATTAAAAGTAAAAACCATATTGAATTAGTTGTAGTTTTAAAACTCATCAAGAAAATGATTGATTATCCTAACCAAAAAACTTTGGTAATAATAACAAAGTGTTATGAATAATGAAAGTATGATTAGGAAAACCCCAGTAATGGACTTCCAACATTGTAGCCATGCATGACAAAATTTGAACCCAGGCCTTCAGCATGGTGTGCGACAGCATCAACCACGAGGCCAACCGCTGCTCACCTTAATGGATATTTTTGTGAGTATTCATCATGGACATTTCATAAAGCACTATTGATATTAAGCCTGTTTATACTTCAGTAATAAATGTTTGAAAAAGAAAAAGCCTGTTTATATTTTTATTGAAAGCAGCCACATAACTTCAAAATGGTGAAAAATGAGTTCCTGTAAATGAATGCCAAATCAAATATTGGTATTTACATTGGCCACCTGGTGTAGGCTCCTGCAGGCATTGCTGGCAGCTGTTGTATGTGACGCTGAATTAATGTGCTATCACGCTCAGTAATTCGTATCAAGGGAACGAGCTCTCTGATGGCTTTTCTGTCATTGATAACACAAGCAATAATTAACCCATCTGGATGAACCGATTCACACAGCAAGAGGGGCCAGGGATACAAGGGTCTGTTTTTGGTTTACCGCCTGCTTATATGACTACCCTTGTGTACTCTAATACGATGAAACTCTCTTAATCCAGACAGTACATGCTAGTGGAACGATTTGGATCCAGAGAGTACCTGTTATCTTGATGGTTCTGTTCCCAATGAAGGTATATGGATAAACAGATGTGTATCAAAGAGTACCCATGTCTTATTATGGACCAACTCTTCAGGGGCTTGATAGGTTTGTTAAATGGGGTCAGAGGTTACATTTTCACAGTTTTGAAGGTGAATAGTATGACCTTGAGTTAACCAAAACTTAGATAAGTTTATTAACAGGATTATTTCAGTGGTTGTTTGAAAAAAATCTGAATTAAAATCATAATGAAGGAAACTTTAGCTTAAAATATCATGGTTTTGGGGAGAGGTTAGTTAAATTCTTTATTGTTCAGTCCCAGACATAAAATAGCTTATTTGAAAGTATTTATGTTATAAAATTATACTGACTGACTGACTGAGTTTGGTTTTACGCCGCTTTTAGCAATATTCCAGCAATATCACGACGGGGGACACCAGAAATGGGCTTCAAACATTGTACCCATGTTGGGAATCGAACCCGGGTCTTTGGCGTGACGAACCAACGCTTTAACCACTGGGCTACCCCACCGCCCCTATAAAATTATAATGAGACGTCCACAAGAAGCCCAGAACAACAGATTTGCCCAATCATTCTAGACTTCAGTTGGTCTCCTTGTGTAGTTATTTTCTGAGATCTGTTGTCAGACTAATATGCTCGCTGTAATGGATGCTACATGTACGCTAGCAAGTGATTCATAGTGGGTTGAGATTCATAGGCATTTGAAATTTTTATTTTGTTTATTTTCTTCTTGTAAATTCTCATAGTTTGCATAACAAATTGAGCAGGTGTGGGCATACGTGCATGAGGAGTCTGTAACCTGTGATGACTTTAACGAGAAAGGTGTGTGTGATGACTTTAACGAGAAAGGTGTGTGTGGTAACCAGTGGATGCTTTGAAGTGTCACATGTCCGCCGCTAGTAGCTGATGTCAAGTGCGCATGATAACATCCAACAGCAGTGGCAGACATCAGGTCAGCGGTCATGTGACATGCACATTCTGTAACGATAACATTCTGAGAGGGGCCGTCTCAAAATATTTGTTATTAATTTATGAAGTACCGGTACAATTGTACTTTTAATCATATGTTCAGATTCAAAAGTTGAATATGAAGTTTGAAAATGGGTTGGCACTTAACCGAAGCAGCTGATCACAATGATTATTTCAGTAACCATGGTGGCCAAGTTATTTCAGGTCCAAAACTCTTCTTCGATTCTCCTATCAAATAAATTGAATAACCTTTTATTTCAACCCACCATTAAACATAGGTGTATACTTTCTTTTGCCCGTGAGTTTATGTCGGTAAAGCACTTTGCCACAGTGGCAATATTATTATTATCATTGTCTGGTATTAGACACCTGCCCTTAAGAGAAGTAGAAGTGTTTTATCATGTAGCCTCCTGATGACAGGTAGAGTGATAACTGGCTACCACCTGTGAACTGATTGACTTACTCACCTGGGCATTTGCATTTGTGGGTTCTTTAGGCTGCTTAAAAATAAGGATGTTTCTTGGTACAGTTATCTCAAAAGTGAGGAGTGGGGTAGGACTTATTTCTTAGTTTTTAGTAAAAAATAATGATGAAAAGGTAATGTTATATTTTTTTCCACAAAGAAAATGAACAAACAATTGGTACACCTTTTACACAGCTATTCAACGTTAACGTCACTTGTCAGTCATCAATATCAGAGTGTGCTTCGAAAATGTGTGTTTGGGGCAATGATAATGACTGATGAGTAGGACTTTTAAAGCAATGCAGGAGTAACCAAAAAATGTTTCGTTTATTTAGTCTTAAATCTTCGTCTTAGCCATGGGAATTCAGAGTAGGTCAGTAACGTTTGCTTAGTACTATTAGTACTAGGTGTTTATGATGAGGATTGTGTTGTTGCAAGTATTGTTGCAGTGTACAACTGGTTTATAGCTCAATAGGGTTGACTACATATGGCATAAAATAACATTCATTCACTCCACATCCTTCAGATCATGTGACTTATACATGCACTAAAACTCTAAATCAAAGAGATAAAAAGATCCATGCATACGATTAAAGCGGCAAACCCATTTCACTGCCACTAGAAATATCTCTGAAAAGCAAAGTCATTTGTAACGATACTGACTGTGTAATGAGCATGTGTTTAAGAATCACTATCAAATGGTGATGAAACTAGGTGTGTGCAAAATCGTTTCCTGAATATTCTGCATATCGTGACTCACCATCATGAATGCATGCAAAGGCAAGGCAATTGTTTCACCTTAATCATTATGGTAACATATGGTACAATTCACAATAGGGAATTGCATAGGAGTAAGAAAATACTTTCTTGTCCTTTTATCAAGAGACGTGTTTTAAAGAAATGTTTAATTGCTACTTGTATCACTTAACAACACTTGGTTTTGTTATTTCAAAGTTTGGACAAATCTGGTTGAAATATTTGTCATGTGTGCCTCCATCTTCTATTTCAGCATTATATCTGTGTAATAATGCCTTTGAATATATTGATATAAAGCATGTCATTGTCAATCAACTTAACACTTTTAAAGTAAAGGTCTCACATCATGGGCACATGTGCAATCACGTACACACAATGTTCACATGCAAAAGCTTTATTAAGCATGAATCTTTGAATGCATCAACTTCTCTTATTGAGCATGAGTGTCACAGCTGTATCACGATGTGGATATTGTTTTTGTTTATATTTCAATTTGTCACATTTCTTTCAGGGATCTGAGCTACAACAAGCTTCTGTACATAGGCAGAAGAACTTTAAAAAGTTCTATTCTTTGAAAAATTTGTAAGTAATATTGATTTTGCAGAATGGTAATTATACAATTGTCTGACTCTAATAGGCTGTAAAAATTCAGACATTCCTTGGATAATTTGACAACTGAATAAAAAACAAATCCTCTTTTTCGCTTATCCTGTAAATTCTTGGACTTGTCATTGCTTAGAATTTTTCCAGATTGAAATTTGAATTTGTTTTAAATAAATTTATTCTTAAATATGACCAAGGGATGTTCTCAAGCCTAAAGGTTCATCTTCTGTTTCAGGTGGTAGTGATGTTTTATAAATGCCTTCACTCTAATTCTTCTTTTACACATCTCTACAGATACTGAACAAAAAAGTAGCTAAGGATATTGAATATTTTTGGGGATATTTTTATGAAATATGTGCACTTCTTCACTACAAAATAATATCCCACCAAATATTCATGTTCCCTAACTTTTTGTGTTCAGTATATGTACTTTCAATTTATAATTTTTAATTGCACATGCAGTACTTTCAAATTCTTAATTCTGCAACATCTGTTTTATTTTTTCAATTTAAGTTTAATTGTCATTCTTAAATTCTGAATGCATGATGTGTTCACAGTGCAAGCCTGATTCTTGTTTAAGCATGTTACTCTCATCCAGAATACATTTCTTGTTTCATGTTGATTGTCCATTTTTTCAGACAACTTGACCATAATGAAATTACTTGCATATCTGACACTGGAATCAAGGGATTAAGGAACATGGAGATTCTGTAAGTATATTGCAATCGCCCTACAGTTGGAGGATATACCACTCAACATTGATAGAGATATATTCAATGTCCTGAGCATTTGTTGTAGCTGTAAGCCAGCTGTGAATCTGATACCTTATCTTTACGCAGTGCTATAATTGCTTTATGGCATGGGGCCCCAATTCAGGGCTGAATGTTAATGATTGCCTGGAGATGTCGTTGACAAATAATACTTGATTTTAATTGCCGTAGAATGGGTACATTTATTTTCAGCTTCATTTTAGGTAACAGTACCAAGTACATTTGTCCTCAAGATGGTATCTTTGTGAGTTACCTTGACAGTTTAGCAATCAAAAGTTTAGTGATATATACAAGTCTGTTGAAATAACAGTACCAATACATGAAAATATCCCTATGAAAAGTTGAGTAGTATATACAAATATGTACATTAATACCAAAACATGTGGCTATAAGTGGTTGCTCTGAGTTTATCAGAGATTATCCTTAGCAAAAGTTGAGTAGTATATCCAAATGTAGGAAAATTAGTGTAACAGTAAACGTTTCCAAGAAGCTCTCCTCAAAATTGGGTAATATATAAATATAAAAGTATGTTCAATAAGCAGCACCAGTACAAATACCCCAAAGAGGTCCTCAGAGTCTGACAATATCCCTTTAAAAAATTGAGTAGTATTTACAAATATGAAAATAACTGCACCAGAACAGGTTTTCAGAAGATGCCTCCTGAGTGGACTGACAGTGTCGCTGTCAAAAGTTGAGATGTGTACATAAGTGTGAAAATAAAACGTACTAGAACACGTGTCCATAAGAGGTTGTCCTCCAATTTTCATTCACGTTCTCTGTGTGTGGAATATATCATGCCAGTCAAATCTCCCCAATATGTTTATGACAAAGACGACAACAAGCATCTTCAAATTACAGTTACTGCCTGTTCTCCAGTGTCAAAACATTGTTATTCTTACATACAGATATGCATTGTCCTATTTTTTCCATCAATATTCCGTTAATTCATCTCTAACCAAAACAATTCACACATTCCCGATGTCTCTTGGGAATGTGACTGATGAAATATATGTGATGAATAAATATCCCAAGATGTTGGTTTCGGTATCGGATGTTGGGATGGGTAAGAGAGGCTGGAATATATCTATGTTGTGGTCACCAGATAGCCTGGAGTTCTACTGAAGGGATGTTCCCTTAACTCACTGTAAATGGGAAACCTCCGCTCTGTAGGGGGCACCTGCCTAAACAGTCACAGATTGCACCCAGCGTTTTCAAAATGTTGTCAATGTGAATGATGGCATGTTGTAGATAAATATGTCCTCGGCTAGATAAGCATACAAGGATGCCCCCAGACTGTGAAACTGTTATACAAATTTGCACAAGTAGGCCTGCATATATGTCATCATTCATTTGGTTTGTAATTTATATTCTTTTCACGGACTGGTCTGGTTCTATTATTGGCAGATATCTGGCATTCACTGTGAAACCTTAATGTTATTAAATATGGCGGGACTTGACACACATTTAGTCCTAGAAAGAAAGTTATTGCTTTTAAAAATATATACCCCAAAATAAAAATTAACTTTATTGGATCCAAAAAGAAGAAAGCTTAAATTCAGGGCAAAAGCAATACTGTTTTGGAAAAATAAGCTAGAATCTAGAATAGTCACACCACACTTAAATAAATATATGGTTTCATATCTGAATTAAACAGTGATATGTTCCAGCAAATACAAGCTATCAAATGACCCTAAAACATTTTTTGTACCTGAAGGATTTAAGGCTTTGTACTGATTCAAGTTTCTGTAAAGGTCAAGGAAGGAAAACTCACATAGTTTAGTTTGTGGGAGAAAAATGTGTTACACAAAATCTGACACAACGCGGGGACCATAAACTCTCATACACCCATCATAAATAGCCACGGGAGTTACGACATTGTTTTCAGGACGTGACAAACTGTCTTCATCTCGTACATTGCGCAGAAGCTTCAACTCATTATACTTATGTTAAATCCCAAGTCCCGATGTTGTCCATTAAAAGGTTACATTGTAACGTTATGTACGATAATACAAACTATCACGCCATTTACATCCCTCGGACGGGAGGTACAACAAACAGAGACTGTACAACCATATTTTCACCGCTGAGCATCCGGAGCATTTTTAACAGCTTGCATAATGATAAAACCATGTTTATTTAAGCAGGGTTTATAAGGGTTGAGGTGAATACTGTCTTTGTATCTATATCTTGGTGATAAACGCCTCTATGTTTTACATTTTGAGAAACGGAATGTTATACTCGTGGAGAAAAGGCGTATTTCTAAATAGCACTCAGGGTTCAAGTTACCAATTTAATTATGGTTGTAAACTTAATATTAGATGGCAATGATGATCATCCTGGAACGGTCCTATTGCCATTATACAAATCGATCTTACCTTACCTTCACATAGACTTACATAGACGTCACCCTGGCAGTTATTTTTCTGTGACCCATCAGTGCATCACTAATGCTTGTACATACATTGTATTTAGTCAGGAACCTGACACAGTGCTTGATTCTTAAATCCAGTATGTGTCCAATTTGGATCCCCTCTAATTAGGAGATATTATTAAATAACAGATATATGAAGGTTTTTTTTAATTATCCAATTTTTAGAACCAAATGACCAGTATTTTAACACAAGAAAAATAAAGAAATGAAATAGAAAAGAAATGTGTCCTTTTGCCATGATCGTAATTTCCATGTTTTTTCTGCATTTTCAATTTTTCAGATTTTTTTTTTTCAATAACTATGCTACGTGAAAGTCTTTTGTTTCATGACCGCTCAACATTTTTTTTCATGAACCATCATCCATGCTGCCATGAAAACCATGTAGAAAACCCCTTAAGTCTTTGTTTATTGAATCCCTTAAGTCTTTGTTTATTGAAGTCTTTAACGTTTAAAAATGGTAAATACCACTTGAAAAGAAAATATGGAAACGAATATAACGAATTTTGTTTACAGGCTTTGGAGTGAGCTATTAGGCATGGGTGAATGCCACCATGCCACTGTTGTGTAGTGTATCTCTGATTGCCACTAAGTAAATCGTAGACAGACGATTATGGGCTTACAAGATAGAAGGGATTCCCATTAGTCTGAGATGGCTACCTCGTGTTCATGGCTCAACACTTTTAATCTTGTCTAATCTGTAAAAGGTATGTTTATGTTAGGGGATTATCCTTGTTTAGAGTTATAGGTAAGGCGCTCCGTGCTGTGACATGACAGGGTAAGGGCGACTGGTGATGATGCTTGACTGGGCTCTTGTCTCACGAAAGAAGGCTGCTATTAGATGAAACTAAACATTCATTTGTCCTTGGTATGGTGTAAAACCAACAGTAGACTTTGCATTGTTTATGTAAAAATGTGTGACAAAATCAGTGTTTGTTGTAATTTATTTTGTTAAAGCTGTGAATACATATTTCCATGGTAATTTGCATCCATAATGAATAATGTCCAGGATATTACACATACACACCTTGTCCGGATATTCGACAGATTTTTACTACTTTTTGGGGGGGTCACCACCTGCTGCTAAAAGCACTAAGCTTACAGAGCATACCATCAGCAAAACCAGTTTAAACGTGGGGAAGTGTTTGTGGGTTTATGGGTAATGAAATGTAAATGTGTTAAATATCTCTGTATATGTCAGAGCTGCTATGGTAACAGTAATAAATTTCATGAAAAACATTTAAAAAAAGAAATGTTTTACACCCAGTACCACCAATCATGGGGAGATAACTCTTGGAAGTACTATTGCTGACACCCCTGTTTATATCGCTGTTGGTTTATGGTGACTTCAGCAGAAGTACCTGCTTTCGCTGTTAATCACTGCTAATGTCAGTTTTGCATCTCTTTAATCCAAGTTAATCCATAAGATGTGTATCTTTGCAAGGGATTATCCGTGAGGGTATTTATAGCAGTGACACTCAAAGCTGTGACACATTTATGACATAAGACATGGTCACAGCTCGTGTCAGCATGCGGTGAAAGTCATGAGGTTATGAATGTTCTCAAGAAGAATCTTAGAAACATCATACAGCAAAACTAATAAAGGAGAAAGAAACACATTTGATCTTAGATTTTGTATTTCCCTTAAGTACAAATCAGTTTATTTGGCAATCCATTGAATACATTATATTTTAAACTTCATTTAATTTGTTAATGGATCAATTGAAATATCTGGCAATATGAATCATGAACATAATACATGTTCCCTTATTTTTTCAATGAGTATACCTACCACCAACAGTGTCACTGACATTGTGTAATTGTCACAGCTTTGAATGTTTCATAATAAACACTTTCAAAGGGAATATCTGTAATGGAATATCACACACAGCATGTATCCATCTTGGTATTTGAAAAGTCACAGCTTTCAGTATGTAGTAATAAACACTCTCAAGGGAATTTTTCATAGTTATCACCCACCCAGCATGGATCCACTCTAATGCCAGCTGTAAACAGCCCCTGTTATCTATACTGGATACATTCCTGTATCAACAAACATGAATCATTTCAATAAGTCGTCTTTAAGTGTCCCAGCAAATCTCTAGTAGCTTATGTGGGCATTTAACATCCATATACAGCTATGGAATTCCCCAATCTTCAGTTTTACGTAACCTCTCATTGGTTGGACGCAGTGAAGCATGGTATATGGGAGTTATCACATGTGTGAAGGAGGGGGATATGAGGAGTTATCTTGATGGTATGTTCTTGTTATTGCCCCAGGACAGATAAGTAAGGCCAGAGTTCACTAGTGCTGGCTGAAAGATTGATAATCAGAAATATTGTTGATGGGAAGAATTATTAACGATTATCGATATGAAAATTCTAGCATCGTGAACATCCTACATGAACCTTGTCTTTATTCATTGGCTTCTTCTAAAATATGTTCAGGACACCGTTTTGTTAGTTATCCACTTATAAATATGTCACTACTCTCCAGTGAGGTGAAATTTGTTGGTTTCTTTCAAATTTTGAGAACATTTTTGCTTAGAGGTGCTTTTCCGAGATTCATCGATCTCTGTTATCTAATCGATAGACAGCCCTTGAGTTCAAGGGTATTAACATGGTTTAATGTCATCAATGAGGTCTTGATTTTCTATGTTATTTGAAACTATCTCAACTGCATGTTTTGACTCGTTCTTGATTTTCTTGTGTATCATATACTACTCATATTTAGATAGGGATAATCAGATATGTCATTCTGTTTAAATGCACACATATCATAGGTTTTGTGTATCGTGAAAAGATAAAATATGGATACCCAAAGTAGACCAGTATATCTCCATAAAGATAGCTTCCTGTTGAATCTGGTTTGGATTACACAACATGGACATAAATGTCCAATCAAGTTACACGTTTGTTTTATGATTGAAACAGGAGTTGATTTTATTTTCTCTTAACTTGTCTTAAATACAAGTTGGAAACCCCAGCAGCATTAGGACTTCGCTTCAAAAATACTTACTCTGAAAAACGTCCTTTCCACTTAAACTAACAGTTACAAGCATTCCTTTCAGTAAAACTTGTATGCCTTACTGTAAAAACAGATAAGACTTATATGCCTCATCTTGCCTCTTTCCTTAAAATCCACACATCTAATTTAGATATAATTCCAAAGTAGATACAGAATATGTTTTCACCAATAGTTTCATCCAACTATCTCATCTTCAAATCAATATCTCAGTATGAGAACAAGACCAGTATGTCTCATGGCATGGATACAACAGCCTCCATCAAGGGCGTCTATGAGTTAATACAGTTATTGCCCAGCTGATATTGAGATAATTCCCAGACAGATATAGACACATCTGTCATAACAGTGAGTGGGGGAAGAGATTAGGTATTTACAGCAACAGTCTCCGCCTTTATCAATAGATGCAGATGGGGATGTCAGCATCTAGAAAGTACACCAAGGTTTACCCAGCAGGAACAAAAACACACAACTATCTAAAAATGCAACATTTCTCTAGGTCAATATTCAGTTTGTTCTGGAAACAGACAACTTGTTTTTTTTTTTTGGGTACATTTTTCACTTTTGTTTGCATAGCTTTCAGTTTGAGAAATACTGGTTCACAAGGATATAGAGGAAGTGAATATTTAAGTACTAGTATATCATGACAATTTGGAAGTATATCATGGCAATCAAAATGTACGTCATGGCAGTATCTAAGTATATCATTGTAATAAGTATGTATGGAGATAGGAATATATATCCTGGTAATAGGAATGTATATCATGGCAATAAGTATATATATCATGGCAATAGGTATATATATCATGGCATTAGGTATATACATCTTGGCAATATGTATATATATCATGGCAATAGGTGTGTGTGTGTATATATATATATATATATCATGGCAATAGGTATAAATATCATTGCATTAGGTATATACATCTTGGCAATAGGTATATATATCATGGCAATAGGTATACAGTGGAAGCTGTCAAAACCGGCAGTTGTCCAATCCGGCAAGTTGTCAACACCGGCATAAAATCTCAGTCCTGTCCGTGGCTAGTGCATGTATCATCATTTAGTAGCTCTGCAATCCGGCAGCTGTCTATTCCGGATCTCGGCATGAAATGAGCAACCCGAATATGGGTTTATACTGTAATCAACGCTGTCTAATCCGGCGCATGGCGAGGATTCGGCCTGATGTGTATTGTTATCAATAATCTTACATTGAAATATCATGGTTGCCGCCAAAGACATTTTAATCTTAGTTCAGCATGGGTATACTTGTAACTAGTGAGTTGACATGTTTTATTGTGATACAAGAATGTGTATGAAAGTAACAAAACTGGTTCACTTCTAGTCGGAGGTTAAACCGTGTTATCTGTACAATCCAGCATGCTGTCTAAACCGGATTATTTCTTTAGTCCCGACGAGTGACTGTTTAGACAGCTTCAACTGTATATATTATGGCAATAGGTATATATATCATGGCAATAGGTATATACATCTTTGCAAAAGGTATATATATCATGGCAATAGGTATATATATCATGGCTATGGGAATGAATATCATGGGAAAAGGAGTATATGTCATGGCGATAGCAATATATATCATTGCAACAGAAATGTTTATCATTGCAGTAGGTACATATCATGGCAATAATAATGCATGCCATTGCAATAAGAATGTATATCATGGCAGTATATACGTTTATCATGGTGATAATAATATATATCATGGTAGTAGGAATGTATATCATGGCAAAAGGAATAAATGATGTGGCAATAGCAATGTATATCATAGCAATAAATATATATATCATGGCAATAGGAATATATATCATGGCAATAATAAATTATATCATTATATATTTTTGTTTCAGAACGCTGAGTAATAACAACATAACTACACTGCCTAAGGATATGTTCCAAGGAATGAACAAACTAAGAGTTCTGTGAGTATAAGATTTGATCAGTTCTTAGTTTTGATGTGGTGGTGGTGGTGATGATGAGTGAGCGAGTGAGTTGGGTTTTATGCCACTTTTAGCAATATTCAAGCAATATCACAACAGGAAATACCAGAAACGGGCTTCACACAATGTACCTACTGGGTATATGGAGAAATGAACCCAGGCCTTCGACATGACGAGTGAACGCTTTAACCACTAGGCTACCCAACCACTCATGATGAGTGAGTGAGTGAGTTTTTAGTTTTACGTTGCTTTTTGCAATATTCCAGCAATATCACGGCAGGAGACACCAGAAATGGGCTTCACACACTTTGCCCATGTGGAGAATCAAACCCAGGTCTTCAGCATGACAAGTGAACACTTTCACCACTAGGCTACCATACCACCCATGATGATGATGATGATGATGATGATGATGATTTCAACAATGATAGGTTGTGATATCTTTGTTACATCAACAATCCTGTATGGGACATTAAACCCTCATTTGGTCTGCTTCTTATTGCAATCTGTTATCTCGCTTGTCCTTATACATGGGTAAAACAATTGTACTACAGCTATTGAACTTCGTAGGGAGGATTGTGTTTGGAAAGAGTACTTCAGGCCAATATTTGGACATACGATAAACACAACCATTTTAGCTATCCAGAGAACAGAATTTAGCATTTAGCTTTCTGGGTCTCCAGAGTGAAGTCTGTTGATCTTCAGTAGGCCTCCAAGATAGCAAAGAGTCTTAAAAAACTGCATTGTAAAGTTCAGATTCCAGATGTTTTGTTTTGGTGTCTTGTGTTGAAATGTTGTTCCTGCCAGAGATTTCTGTCAAACAAGCTCCAAGAACATTTCTCACTTTTATGTCCTGGAACTGTGTTTCCCTGTGGCAACCGTCTGATTAATTGTAAGGATGTGTAGCATTTGGGAATTGTATCAGAAGTAAACAATGCACATCCTACCCAAAATATACTTTCTGCAAGAAATATAAAAAACAATGTTTTCAAAGGTGTTAGATTATCCGACACTTCTCCAAACATTTGCCGGCATACTCTACATAAAATACATCACAGACTGATAAAAAACCCTGATCCTTTCAACAAAGGGAGATTACTCTGTGTCTTGTTGATAAATGTGTTCTGGCTGATCAGGAGACAAGTTCCAACATGGCTGCTTACATTGCGTTTAGAAGCAGACGTTAAAAACATCCAACTGCACCTGGCTGGGCGAGCATTTGCTGCACAGTAGAGTGTGACAGTGGTATCGCGAGGCGGTAGATAGCTTTAACGCTCTCATTAGAGAACACAAGCCTTTTTCCTCTCTCCCTCATGTTAAAGCGAAGCCACTACTACCTCCTGATAAAATAAACATAGCAAATTGGTCATGAAATTCATCCAAGGAAGTTCAGCCTATCCTGCAACAAGCATTGCCATATGTGCATGTGAGGAGTTCATCGGAGAATCCGTGGAAAAACATCCCCTTCTCACCTTTTCCTTTTGGGACTTTTCCGATACCCTCGGAAAACATTGCTTCTCAACTTCAACCAGACTTCAACCTTTGGTAAAAAATCTTACTAAATGCTGCATGATGCTTTCATTTTTGATGTCCCATTTTAATCCCAATGAAAGAGAATGGGGACAAAGATCCATATGTTAGACCTCAACCCATGCCAATGTTATCTTCTGTAATCAAATGCCAATCTTGTGTTGAGGTCATGATATAATACCTTGCATAACCTTTCCTCCGAGTTACCCAGTCTACCTTAAGGAGAGAGGGCTTCAAGGTTGCCTCTCATCTGTCTAGTCAGCGGTATGAAGTCAGGAGATAAATTGGTTTAATCATCCAAATGTTTTCGCTTTGATCAACCTCTGAAGGTCAATTCTGGCTTGGACAGGTCAGTGATAACGGATGATATTACACTTGGAGGCAGAAATTCAAGTTATTCCAAAACAGTGTTGAAATATTTCTGATTGATTTTTATTGTTAGAAATCTTTCCCTGCCATTTTTGCATGGGTTCATAAGCTACATTTATTTCATTTGAATTGAGGAAAGATTATCAGTCGCATCCTTCAAATCTGGACTTAGTACAGCATCTCAGCCTTCCGAACGAAAATTCCTCAAGACAAATTCACAATGTAAAATTACTCACTTATCCGGAAATCTGGTTTCCGTAACCAGACGGTCATTTTCAAATGCAAAACGCTAAATTATATGCAATTTTTTCTTGTATATCCGAATGGCTGAACACGTGTCAGTATGTTTACACACTCATTTTACCGAGTGGCCTTGCGTGCCCTAACATAAAAGAAGTCGTCAGTCTTTGAAGCGTGAGAGGATTAACTACCTGTAATTAGCAAGGTGACACTGAGTTAATTTTGAGTTGTGATTGGTAAGGCAAGACGTCCCCATTGTTTTGGTAGTGACTTTAATCCGGAAGTATAGGTTAGGTACAGGAACAATGCGAACGCGTGGATGACATCAGAACTGTTTTGTGATTGGTTGCTAGCATATGACAGACAGATGCATTTACAGGTATGTTCGCACGTGTTATTGACTACTTTATTTGACCAGATGATATTTACCAGTATGTATGCATTGTTATTTGTTGATGTCTTATCAGTAAAGATTACGTATGAGGTCTATTATGTTCGTTTCTTTATATGTATTTTTACATATTGTCCGTGGTTCAGATATCCGGAAATTCGTTTATCCGGACAGTTTCAAGAAAAACACAAGTGTCCGGATAAACGGGGCACGACTGTATCCCAGATAGCATTCGGACGTTGGGTCAACGTCTGAATGCTATCTGGGATATGATCTCTACCTCCAGCAAATTTACTGGGACAGTAGTATGTCCCACAGTCCCTGAACCACATTATTTTCCCTTCCACCCAGCCTTAAATAGTGCAAGTCTAGATTTCCTCAGGTTCTGAATAGCCCATTTCACTAAGGCTCCTTGTCAATTTAAAAGGAATTATTTGTTTCTATCAAAACAATATATGTTCAGAGACTAAGCATTAGTTTATGACGTCTAGTGGGACTTGTATAGACCTGGGCACCATTTCACAAAACGATCATAATGCTATGGGGATCGTAACTCCCATACTTTAATATAGACTTACGACAGTCGTAGCGCTATGACCGCTTTGTGAAACTGGCCCCTGTATCATGATTCAATCACTAATCACAGTTACCTCCTTCCAAGTAAGTCCACTTTCAATGTCAATTTACCATATTCACTGAATGTAAAAACAGGGCCTCCATCTGCCATCTGCAGACGCGAGTGTTGCAGCCATCATCATAGACTGACAGGAAATCCTTCTCATGTACTCTGTGATTACCAGTCTTACATCACCGTAGACATCAGCAACACGCAAGGTGTTACCATGTTGAATACATCTCCACGTCTCCGTGGATCAGTGCTGAGGGTAATTGGGGCACTAGCACGGATATAGTGACTGTTTCTTGCAACTTTCAGATTTACAGGTTGGAAAAGTTCCCAAAGTCGGTGAAGATTGGTTCAAATGCTGCTGCTTATAGCTTTGATTCCTTATCAGTATGGAGAGGGTTTTGTGACTGTCATTCAGAATACTTTGTTTTTTCTCTCATGATGCTAGCATGATTTACTTTGATAATTGGGTCTTTGTTTTAGACTTTCCTCAGTGTTGAAAAGACAATCCAGCCATAATATTGGTAATACCCAATTTTTTGTTAAGTATTGACATGAAAAATATGTGCATGTTAAATTGTCACATTGATTTCAAATAACTACAAACTACCAACTTAAAAATGCATATCTAAAAATTCACAGCAAGTAATATTGTTATTTTTTTAAATACAGTGCAGGCTTATCATTAAAACCAGAAAAGAAGTTACCCAGTAGGTCTGAAAATATTTACAACTGAAAAGTGAAAGATTGGCAATAATGTTAAGTATCAAGCATACAGACTCTGCAAGAGTGTTACATCTAAAAGCTTTGAAATGCCATATAACCTAGAATCCACAAGAGCGTCACACGACGACCACATATTCTGTGCATACAAGGAATAAATTTGCTAACTTAACATCAGGAGCACTACAGCTGTTCAGGTGAAAGTTTCATGTCAATGCTGTCAAGGAGATGCTGACAGAGTACAATTAAAACTCTATAGTCTAAAATACAAATTGACACTGGCACTTAAAAAACAACAAATCTTTTGACATCCAACAAGTTGGTCTCCCCTGGAGAGGACCAATCATCACACAGATGCCAGGATCATTTACAAAAACGGGATTTTAAACATGTTTTTGTCAACAGAGTTCACGTGAAACAAAAGTTGATTGTCAGCAGTTTAGTATGTGTCATAAAAAAAAACTTTGTTAAAAAACTGGGTCGATGATGGCCAAAGAACCTCTGCCAGGAAGGTGTACGATCTGGCAGTATGATGACATTAACAGATGGCGACCAATATGGTTGTGTGTTGTGTCGGAAAACAACAGCTATTGTTGCAATTGTGTCCCTGTGTTGTTTTGTTGCCATGACACTGAAAGATGTGTTATTCTTAATTTTATTGTGTAAGAATCGGAGTGTAACTTTTGGCAGGCTGTGTATTTTCTAAAACAATTCGCAAATCATTCACTGGTACTGTGTATGTTTTCTTAAATATTGACGCTGATTCAATCCGAGTTACAATATATGCCAGGAAATTGTACTTTGATCGACTTTATATTTACCAATTGGTGTTTTTGTTGATTAGATGTGTTAGCAAAAATTTCATAGATTAAATCATGTAACTTTAAGATCACAAGGCTTTGTTTTTGTTAATTTATTGTTCAAACATCGCACTTCCACAAAAATTGCTATTTTAGTTTTTCTCAGGGTGTACTGTTTGCTTACGAAATATTTCTCATGCCTTAGAACATTCTCACTGCTATTGAGTTTGACACAAAAATTTGTAGAAAAAGCGCAAAACACTTAAAACAAGTATGTATATAAACACATGATACAATATATCAG